GAATTTTTTTTTTTTTTTGACTAAAAAAGATTGAAATCTAGCTAGAATTAAGTCAAAATATTTATTATATTAAATATTAATTAATTATCACTTATTATTATTTTATCATTCTTTTGTTTTATCCATACTTATTATTTTATTATTCTTTATTATTTAGAGTGTGATTTGATATGAATTTGATTTGGTTTGGATTGAGTTTTTTTTTGTTTTAATCATATTTAATTTTGAAAAATGTGATATGGTCAGTTGTAGCTGAGATTTAGAATTTATATTAAAATAATATTTAAAATAAATATAATTAAAAAGTAATTTGATTTAAAAGTAAGAGAGATGATGCGAAATTATGGTTAATTAATTTAAATTATATGAGTAAATGAATAGTAAAACAAAATTGATGTAATTTGTAAGATCGGTTTATTAATATTATTTAATTATACTGATAATATTGATTAGACGAAATAAAAAAGACCTGAAAAAGAAAGGTATATGCTACATAGCACATGGGACGCACCGTCTAACTTAAAAGAAAAAAAGTTGATTACTTTCAACCGAAGAGCCAAAGATCTTTTGACAAATAAATCACTATTATATAAGTTATAAGCTAAAAAAAAAATAAATAAAATAAATCACTATTATATAATCTGTTTAATTTAAAGAAAAAGTTGATTATTTTCATTCACACAACATCTTTTGACAAACAAATAAATCACTAGCAAAGAACAATGAACCACAAGATACTATTAATTCATAAGTTGTTATGAAGTGTGAGTACCAAACATAAAGCAATAGTTCATTTAAATATATAAATATACAATTTATTAAAGCTAAGTGGATAAATGAATATTATTCAACAATTTAATTTTAACATAAATTATATGGAGTCATCCATAATTTTATATACTGACACGTGTCCAACGTGTATTTATTAAATGACACATGTCAATACACCATTTGTGAATAACTATGGATGAATCCATAAGTCGAGCAATCGAATGGCCCCACAGCAAAACCATTCCAGAACAAACACACACATACATATATATCTGTTAATGTGAAACACCATACTTTTTACAAAGTACAAATTCTATTGTGCATATAAGTATATATTTTAATATTTCAATGTTACAGTTTAAAAAATAATTTTAAATAACACTATAAAAATATGATATTTCACAATATGAATTAGCATTTTATTTAAAAGTATGGTGTGATTCATTAACCTGATATAGAAAAACATATTTTCTATATCGGGTATTCTATAATTCGACTTTTCATATGTCTTTAATAGATGGTGTGATTCATTCACTCTATATAAAAAATTTACTTTCTATATGTAGTATTGATCGATATAACAAGGTGACACTTGTTATATGGACTGAAACTATATCAAAGTTGCAACCGATATGAAAAGTCATTTCACCCGATATAAAAAGC